TGGCCAGACGCAGGGACAGGAGGAGACCCAGTGGTCAGGGTGTAGAGGCTCGACCCCAGCCGACGCGTAAACGTGGCCAGGTGCCGGCCTGTGTGAGCGTCCGAGCAGTGGGTCACCCGCTGACTCGCAGGAGTAAACTGGTGAACCCAAGCATCCTGTAGGTCAGCACCACTCACCAAGTTCGTAGAGAACAAGGGGAGGTAAAGACCGGACAAGGTGCCAGAGGAGGCAGCCTGACACGGATGAAAGTGGAGAAGAGAGAGAGTACATGACCCCCAGAGGGGTCTTCCAGGGAAACTGCAACCGGCCGCCAAGCGGCGTGAGTGTGGTGCGGTCTCGAAAGGAGCAAGAAGCCCCTGAGTCAAGTGTGAAGGTGAGGGAGGCCGAAGCCGACGTGGTACCTGAGAGTGCAGACTCACCAGCACGTGAGGACGCTGACGCACAGGCACCTAGAGCAGCAGCCTCACCAGCACCTAGAGCACCAGTCTCAATGCCCGGGTCGGGCGGGAAACACTGGTAACAGTCACCCTCATCATTAATAGTCACAGCATACATGGCAGCAAGGATAGCATCAAAGTCAAGATCATAGATAGCTCTACCTGCCCTAGACAGCTCTCCCCAGCGGGGGATCTCAGTAGCCTGGGGGAACTGGTGACGCCAAGCGTCCGTCAGGCGGCCAAAGCAGCGCTGGGTGGGGTGGGCACCCCCACACTACTCACCCGCGTGGTCGCCGGTGCGAAGGACGTAGGTGCACGGACCAAAACCCCCACCACGTTGACGCTGCACGTACCACTCACGGAGCTGCTTGGGGGGGGGGATGTCCCGAGAACGCTGCTGCTTCTGCTGCTGGCGCTGACCACCATCGGAGCTGCTCCGCTGCGAAGCGCCACCCCGACCAGCTCCACCTCCTCCACCACCGCCTCCTCCACCTCCGCCACCACCGCCGCATCCGCTCCCACCGCTACTGCCTCCGCCGCCTCCGCCTCCACTGCTGCCACCGACACCTCCACCCCCGCCACCACTCCCACTGCCACCCCCACTCCCTCCGCCGCCGCCACCGCCACCTCCACCACCCCCGCTAGCTCCACCCGCGCCCTTGTCCCCCTTGCCCTTGCCAGAGCGGCGTCTACCGCTAGGGGCAGACGCTGCACCAACCGACTCAAGACCAATGAGGTCGGCCGCAGCAACAGAGGCGTCAGAGGGCAAAAGGGGGGAAGGGGAACACCCCTCAAAGATGGGGGTGCGAGGGTCACCACGAGAGGCTCCTACAGCGACTATGCTCTTCTCCGCTGCTAGGAGGGCCTTCTCTAGGAGGTCAAGAGTGAGAGTGGTGGGACAGACTGAGAGGAAGTGGTCCCTGACTACACGAAGGGAGTCAGGGAGGCGGGTGACTATATAATAGAGAGTGATGTATATGGGGGGGGAGTTCTTGGCGCAGAACTCAGCAGGAAGCGCAGCGCGGTAGCGAGTGTCACTAGTGCGGAGGTGCGTAATGAGGTCAGCGACTGTGGGAAAGGCAGCAAGGTCAAGGAAGAGGTACGGTAGCATGAGGCGGCTCAGTGCAGCAGTGGCAGGGGAAGAGTAGCGCGCAACTACAGCGTCGTACAAGGTCTGAGCACTCTTGTACTGACTAAAGTGCGTGCGCTCAGTGGTAGGCAGGTGGCGAAGCACAGCAAGACGTGCATCAGCGTCGCGCGTGGCCCACTGAGAGCAAACAGTGGCGTCAGCATGAGCAGCAGGGGCAGGAGAGGCGCCAGAGGTGAGGTCAAAGAGAGAGAGACCGTCTGCCCTATCGCAATGTAAGAACAGCTGCAGGTCGTCGACCCAGACGTCAAAGTCAATGGCTCGACCCTTAGCGTCAAAAGCGAGGACACTGGGGGTAGCCATGACAGCAGTAGACTAGTAGTGCTAACTGTAGGACAGGGGCAGTGCAGCGACAGAGGTGCTGAGCTCACCGGACAGGGCTGCTTGGGCGGCTCGGCTGCACGGCGGCTGGGCGGCTCGGCTGCAGGGCAACTCGGCGGCTCGCCGGCTCGGCTGCTCTGCTGCTGGGCGGCTCGGTTGTGCTGCTGCAAGGCGGCGCGGGGGTCGGCGGCTCGGTTGGGTGAGGCGGCTCGGGCGGCAGGCGGCGCTGCAGTAGTTAAGGGCGGCGGGGCCGCAACTGAGGGCGGCGAGGCCGCAAGGGAGGGCGGCGGGGCCGCAGGTGAGGGCGGCGACGGGCCGCAACTGAAGGCGGCGACGGGGCCGCAGGTGAGGGCGACGGGGCCGCAACTGAGGGCGGCGGTGCCGCAGGTGAGGGCAGCGACGGGCCGCAGGTGAGGGCGGCGATGGGGCCGCAACTGAGGGCGGTGACGGGCCGCAACTGAGGGCGGCGGGGCCGCAAGGGAGGGCGGCGACGGGCCGCTCAGGGTGGCGACGGGCCGTGAAGGGCGGCGACGGGCCGAGTAAGTGCCGCGACGGGCCGTAAGGGCGGCGCAAGGGAGGCCGCTAGGGGCGACGCGACTTGGCCGCTAGGGCGGCTCGACGAAGGCAGAGAGGGGAGCGCGACTCGAGGAGCGCGCTCCAGGCAGGAAAAAAAAAAATCGATGTGGTGGGCCCTAGGCATAGTTCCCACGAGGGAACCTGCTCGATACCATGAGAAAGTTAGAACGAGAATGAAACGACTAAGTGAAAGTTGGGTACAAATACAACCCTAGAAAGCTGTACCCCATATGTGCTACCCCACTATAGCCTACAAAAGCTATGTCATACAAATCTGACAAAAAGGGGCGGCGCCGGGGCCGCGGTGGAGGCGACGGGGCCGCCGGGCGACGGATCGGTGCCGGGAAGGGCGGTGCCGGGGCCGCGGGGTAGGGGACGGGGCCGCAGGGCGGCGGATCGGGGCCGGGAAGGGCGGCGCCGGGGTCGCAGGGCTAGGCGACGGGGCCAGCAGAGGCGGGGCCGGGTCGGGAAGGGCGGCGTCGGGGCCGGAAAAGGGGGGGCGCCGGGGCCGCAGGGTAGGCGACAGGGCCGCAGGGCGGCGGATCGGGGCTGGGAAGGGCGGCGCGAGGGCCGCGGGGTAGGCGACGGGGCCGCAGGGCGGCGGATCGGGGCCGGGAAGGGCGGCGCCAGGGCCGCAGGTCTAGGTGACGGGGCCGCTAGGGCGGCGGATCGAGGCCGCGAGGGCGGCACGACGCAACCGCTAGGGCGGCGCGACGGGATCATAGAGGGGAGCGCGACTCGGGCAGGGGCTGAGCGTGCTCCGGGCAGGAAAAAAAATTCGAATAGGTGGGCCCTAGGAACAGTTCCCACGAGGGAACCTGCTCGATACCATGAGGAAACTAGAACAAGGAATGAATGACTAAGTGAAAGTTGGGTACAAATATGAACCCCTAGAAAGCTGTACCCCATATGTGCTACCCCACTATAGCCTACAGTAGCTATGTCATATAAATCTGACAATGACATCTAGGTCAGCGGCATATCTAGTTGATTACCTTTTCTGCAGGGCAAGAGTGGGTGCTTCTGTACTATGCCTAGTGACATGGTCATGCTCCTAGTGCAGTGTAGTTATGTCAGAGGTCCACTGGTGATCCCCGATCAATCCTAGGGAAGGGTTACAGGCATGGCGGCCTGGGGGGTTATGGGCGCACTGACCCGCTACTTAACAAGTCCTTTTATCCCAGTGGTTAGTGGCTGGGATTTTGACATGTTATCAGAGCGAAGGTCTCGGGTTCGAATCCTGGTGTGTGCACTTCGGGCATCCCAGTGCGGGGGGTGTCAGAAGTCCATTGGTGATCCCCGATTCATCCTAGGGAAGGGTTACAGGCATGGCGGCCTGGCGGTTTATGGGCGCATTGACCCGCTACTTAACAAGCCCTTTTATCCCAGTTGTTAGTGGCTGGGATTCTGACAAGTTATACATTTTGCTGCACCCCTATGGCAACAATCCAATCATGTGCTTTCATATTTGCCTACAATTAGTTGCAGTAAGATCGGATGGTTAGCATGGCATGCGAAATAGGGGACTTTAATGATCAACCCTATAAGTGATTCTAGAAGGTCGCACTAAACTATGCCTCTTCTACCCGTCGCGCTTTACAAATGCACGAAGCCCTTAGTTCAAAACATCGCAATGTGGCTACGATAACATGGCATCCCAAGAGGATGCCTCAAAATCAATCTCATCCGGGATTTTCCGAACATGGAGGAAGTACTCGATATCGTGCGCGCAACACTCTAGGTACCCCTCATCCCCCTTCTCGTGATACAAAGACCCAATAGCAACATATACTGTAAAAGGTAGCTTGACCTTGCCGTATTGACGATCGCTCAATAGGTCTGAGTAGTCAAGGTAACACCTGAACCTGTGGTGCTTTGGCTCCATCGCGGACCCATCACATGATTCACTCGTACTTGCACCACAACACACACGGACCACGGCTTCAACCGTCCGCCCTGCTGTACTCAGCTGCACATGGCTGTCAAATGGCAGACCCAACGAGCTAGCACCCCACTGTTCAAGCACTTCATACTGCTTAGGGAAGGCACGGGCAAAATGGGGCAAAGACCAACTGTATAATGGGAGAACCCTGACATGGGGCTGTCGAGTTGGTTGGGGCATGCGACGAACGCATTGTGGAAGCCGGATGCTTGGGGGTGAGGGCTGGCTCATGTTCACACGACACTTGCTCATGGGGGGGCTGCTAGCACCTCCCTCGTCAACCACCACACCTGCCTCATCCACTTCAACCAGCTCATTCACTCTGCCCAGAAGACCACGCCGACGCTTCAACAAGTTTTGCTCACTACATGATGGGACACAACAATAACACGAGGTTAGCTACATGCAACACACAACGGGAAGCGGTGTGTGAGGGTGTAACCCACCTGGGAGTGAGACGTCGTCGGAGTGTGCGCCGTATTTTGGGACGTGCAATGCTGCCAGGGTGTGGAGCTGAGGGGCAATGCACACCTGCGGATTGGAGTGGTGGAGAGGGTGCGGGGAAAGAGCATTGCTGTCATGTTGCTGTGGGATTGAGTTGATGGGAAAGGTGAGTGCTTATATGGGGCGGCACGGTTGATACAGCAGGGTTAAGGGGAGGGCGTGCATGGGGGGAAGGTTTAGGGAGTAGCGAGGGGGAATGGCATCCGAACGCGACAGCGAGAGGGCGTGACCCTGGCGAGGGTAGGAGAATGGTCGCGTGAGGGAAGGTAAGTGAGAGGGACGGGGAGGGCGAGATCGCGACGGGGGAGGGGAGAGCTAGCGGTGGGGATAGGGGGAGGCAGATTTGGGGAAAAGGGAGAGCTAGATACGGCGCAGGGGAGTGCATGCGGTGAGGGAGGGGAGGGCGTGCGTGGGGGGACACTGGCAGGAAGGGGGATGAGGGGTCGCAGGGAGGGGGATGGGGGCAAGGCGGGAATCTGATGGGGGGAAGCAGTGCAGGGGATGGGGAGAAGCAGGGGTGCGGATGGGGAGAAGCAGGGAAGGGGGGGGGGGGAAGCAGGACAGCAGGGCAGGGGACATAGGGAAGGTGGGGAGGGGACATGGGGAGGCAAGGAAGGGGAGGGGGGAAAGCAGGGAAGGGGATGGGGGGAAGCAGGGAAGGGGAGGAGGGGAAGCAAGACAGGGGAGGGGGGGAAGCAGGGCAGGGGACAAAGGGAAGGTGGGAAGGGGATGGGGGGAAGCAGGGAAGGGGAGGGGGGGAGGCCGGGAAGGGGATGGGGGGAAGCACTGGAAACCGGATGGGGGGAAGCAGAAAACCCGATGGGGGGAAGCAGGGCTTGGGATAAGGAGAAAGAATGAAGAGGATGGGGGGACGCAGGGAGGGGCTTGGGGGGAAGCAGGGAAGGGGATGGGGGGAAGCAGGGAGGGGGATGACGGGGAGCAGGGAGGGGGATGGGGGCGAGGCGGGAATCTGATGGGGGGAAGCAGGGAAGGGGATGGGGGGAAGCAGGCAAGGTAAGGGGGGGAAGCAGGGCAGGGGATGGGGGGAAGCAGGAAAGGGGATGGGGGGATGCAGGGAAGGGGAGGAGGGGAAGCAGGGCAGGGGAGGGGGGGAAGCAAGGCAGGGGACAAGGGGAACGTGGGAAGGGAATGGGGGGAAGCAGGGAAGGGGAGGGGGGGAAGCTGGGAAGGGGATGGGGGGAAGCAGGGAAGGGGAGGGGGGGAAGCAGGGCATAGAGATGAGGGGGAGCAGGGAGGGGGATGGGGGCGAGGCGGGAATCTGATGGGGGGAAGCAGGGAAGGGGATGGGGGGAAGCAGGTAAGGGGAGGGGGGGAAGCAGGGCAGGAGATGGGGGGAAGCAGGAAAGGGGATGGGGGGAAGCAGGGAAGGGGAGGAGGGGAAGTCGGGCAGGGGAGGGGGGGAAGCAGGGCAGGGGACAAGGGGAAGGTGGGAAGGGGATGGGGGGAAGCAGGGAAGGGGAGGGGGGGAAGCCGGGAAGGGGATGGGGGGAAGCAAGTAAGGGGAGGGGGGGAAGCAGGGCAGGGGGATGAGGGAGAGTAGGGAGGGGGATGGGGGCGAGGCGGGAATCTGATGGGGGGAAGCAGGGAAGGGGATGGGGGGAAGCAGGGAAGGGGAGGGGGGGAAGCAGGGCAGGGGATGGGGGGAAGCAGGGCAGGGGACGTGGGGAAGGTGGGAAGGGGACATGGGGAAGCAAGGAAAGGGAGGGGGGGATGAAGAAAACTGGATGGGGGGAAGCAGAGCTTAGGGGAAAGAACAAAGAGGATGGGGGGACGCAGGGAGGGGGTTAGGGGGAAGCAGGGCAGGGGATGGGGGGAAGCATGGAAGGGGAGGGCGGGAAGAAGGGAAGGGGAGGGGGGGAAGCAGGGAAGGGGAGGGGGGGAAGCAGGGAAGGGGATGGGGGGGAGCAGGGCTTAGGATAAGGGGAAAGAACGAAGAGGATGAGGGGAAGTAGGGAGGGGGTTGGGGGGAAGCAGGGAAGGGGAGGGAGGGAAGCAGGGAGGGGGATGAAGGGGAGCAGGGAGGGGGATGGGGGCGAGGCGGGAATCTGATGGGGGAAGCAGGGAAGGGGATGGGGGGAAGCAGGCAAGGGGAGGGGGGGAAGCAGGGCAGGGGATGAGGGGAAGTAGCGCAGGGGACATGGGGGGAAGCAGGGCAGGGGATGGGGGGAAGCAGGAAAGGGGATGGGGGGAAGCAGGGAAGGGGAGGGGGGGTAGCAGGGCAGGGGATGGAGGGAAGCAGGAAGGGGGATGAGGGGGAGCAGGGAGGGGGATGGGGGCGAGGCGGGAATCTGATGGGGGGAAGCAGGGAAGGGGATGGGGGGAAGCAGGGCAGGGGATGGGGGGAAGCAGGGCAGGGGATGGGGGGAATCAGGGCAGGGGACGTGGGGAAGGTGGGAAGGGGACATGGGGAAGCAGGGAAGGGGAGGGGGGGATGCAGAAAACCGGATGGGGAGAAGCAGAGCTTGGGATAGAGGGAAAGAACGAAGAGGATGGGGGGACGCTGGGAGGGGGTTAGGGGGAAGCTGGGAAGGGGATGGGGGTTCATGGGGCAGGGGACATGGGGAAGGTGGGAAGGGTGCATGGGGAAGTAGGGAAGGAGAGGGGGGGATGGAGAGAACCGGGTGGGAGGAAGCAGGGATTGGGATAAGGGGAAAGAATGAAGAGGATGGGGGGACATGGGGAAGCAGGGAAGGGGAGAGGGGGAAGCAGAAGACCGGATGGGGGGAAGCTATTGGGAAGGGAGGCGGGAGGGAAGGCGAAGGCGACGAGCAGTGGATGGCGGGGGTGGGGGGGGGGGGGGGGGGGGGGGGTTCGGGGCTCCACGATTGTGGAGGGGGCAGGGGTGAGAATGCGGATGTGAAGGGCAGTGATATCAACGAGGGAAGGGGCGGTGGCGCAGGTGGGGGGGACGTGCCTGCAAGTGAGGGGGAAGGGGAGAGAATGCGACATCGTGCGGGGGTGATTGTGACGGGGGAGGGGGAATGGCCGCGTGGGGGAAGGGGAGTGAGATGGACGGGGACGGAGAGATAGCAATGGGGAGGGAGATGGCTAGCGGTGGGCCTTAGGGAGAGCTAGCGAGGGGGAAAGGAGGAGATGGCGAAGGGGAAGGGGAGGGCGGGAGATTGGGGTGGGGAGGGGTGGCACGAGTGTGGAGGGGGAGCGGGTGAGAATGCGACAGTGAAGTGCAGTGATATTGATGGGGGAAGGGGAATGGCCGCGAGGGGGAAGGGTAGTGTTTGGGACGGGGAGTGATAGTAGTGGGGAAGGAGATGGCTAGCAGTGATGCAAGGGAGAGATAGCTCAGGAGCAAGCATCGTGCCTGCGAAGGGGAAGGGGAAGGCGTGAGGTTGGGGGGGGGGGGGGGGGGAAGAGTGTGGAGGGGGGAGGGGAGAGAGGGCGACGTGGAAGGGGAGTGATAGCAGTGGGGGAGGAGAGGGCTAGCGGCGGGGGCGGGGGGAGCTATCGAGGGGGGAAGGAAGAGATAGCGAAGGAGCGGGGTAGTGCTTGCGGAGGGGAAGGGGAGGGCGGCACTCACGTGGAGGAGGAAAAGAAGAGAGTGCGACGACGAAGGGGCGTGCTGGTGACGTGGGAAGGGGAGGGCGCGCAGGTGGGGGGAACGTGCATGCGAGCGAGGGGGAAGGGGCGAGAAGGTGTCAGCGAAAGGGGGTGATCATGACGGGGGATGGGGAATGGTCGCGTGGGGGGCAGGGGAGTGATAGGGACAGGGGAGGGGAGTGCTTGCAGTGGGGGAAGGGGGAGTTATCGATGGGGCAGGGCATTGATAGCCCTTGAAAAGGGGATGAGCGCGACGTGGAAGGGGAGTGGTTGGGAGGAGTGGGGAAGTGAACGTGACACGGTAGGGGAGTGTTAGCGTGGGGAAAGGGAGGGATGGAGACGGTGAAAGGGAGTGATCGCGAGGGGGCGGGGGCTGGCGCGCATGGGGGAAAACGGGGACGCTCGCGAGGGGGTAGGGGAGAGACAGCGACGGGGGAAGGGGAGTGATTGCGAGGGTACCGGGGAGTTGAGGCTGTGAAGAAGCGCGTAGGGGGACGGTGGGGAATAAGAGAGTGATCCCGGGGGAGCGCGGTGTTGGCGCCAGTGGGGTTGCAGGCGCGAAATCGTGGAGGCTGATGCGCGGGACACTTTCAGGGGGGGGGGGGGGGGGGGGATACGCGACCGCTAATAGGGCGCGTTATTGTACTCACGGGAGGCGTCGACGGCGGATCGTTCGGCATCGCATTTCCTTGAACCCGCCTCGTCCCCATTAGGCGCGTGGAGCGACATTGCTAATATTGAAGCGAGATTTCCGTCGAGCTTTTATACGTGCGATAGAGCTGTATTCGGGAGGTGTAGTACTCTAATGACGATAGTGGCTGGGGCGGGTGTCTGTGGTAATGATTGTAGTATTGGGGAGGTGTGACTGGTGCTAATTTAGTAATCAGAAGTGATTCCCGTCGCCCACGTTGGTGTGGATGAGGATGTGCGGGGGGGGGGTTATGTTTGTCGCATGGGTGGGTCGCAGGGTGTGTTTTGGCTCACGAAGCAGTGTTGTACCAGGTTGGGGTGTGCCCAGGTTAGGGCGTGTGGTTTGGTGTTGTTTGTACAGTGTTCTGGTTTCGTGCGAATGGCCCTTCCTCTCGTGCTGAATTTCGCTGCTCCTGGACCAATCCCAGGTGCCCCCTCCCCTGAAGGAGCAGGACCCTGAGGGGGGAGGGGGTCTACCGGAGGAGGACCTGGTGCGAGGAAGAGCGGGGCAGAGAGGGGCAGTGCGGTAAGGGAAGAGACAGTAAATGGGAACCAACTCGTCAAACATGACGTCCTGAGACGGCAGGACACGGCGCAAGGTGGGGTGGTAAAACTGCCAGCCAGACGCATCAGGAGGAAAGCTAAGGAAGACACAGGGAATGGAGTGGGAGGAGAGCTTGTCTGCGGAGGTATCGCGGACAAAGGCACGAGATCTCCCGATACAAAACACCGAGGAATCACCAACCTCTCCCGTCCAACGCAGTGTCGGCGAGGTCTCTGGCAAGGAGACACGGGGCCAGAGGTTGAGCTGATGCGCAGCGTACTGGACCGCAAACGGACACAGAAAATGGGGGGCAACCGAATGGATCATGGAGGTGCAAGCGACCTACATGAGTAAGCCAATGCGGCGCTCAGCAACCCCATTCTGCTCTAGAGATGCCAGAAGCTGTGAACGTCAGGCGGATGCCCTCCCCATGATAGAAGTCCCGCAAGAGGTCAAAGGCGAGCTCACCACCTCTGTTAGAGTGCAGACACAGGACCGGAAGGTCCATCAAGAACCGCTCACGGAGCTGGAGACGGACAGCGCGGATCCAAGGGATCAAAACATCAGGGACCTCCCCCTTGCTGCGCAAGGGGAAGACCGTGGTGTAACGCGAGTAGTCGTCAACAACCAGCAGAAAGTATCGTTCGCGGCTCTTTCCACGGACGCAGGCTGGGCCCCACACGTTTGTGTGAAGAGTCTGCAGGGGAGCCTCTGTCGGAGGAAACGAGGAGTGAGGAGCGGCGCGCTACCACCCCTCAACGCAAGGATGGCATAGCGAGCGCGAGAGGGCAGTCTCAACCCTGGGAAGACCAGAGACAAGGAGACGGGAGTGCATGCCACGGAGACGTGGCAGGGAGGGGTGACCAAGACGGTGGTGCCAAAGGAGAGTCTGGTGCGACAGGTGGCGACACGAACAGTGGGCTGAAAGCTGACTTGATGCGAACGCAGATGCAGCTACCTGAGATGGCGCAATAGTCAGTGTGTACAGACTCGACCTAGGCCGACGGGTGAACGTGGCCAGATGACGGCCGAACCGGAAGCACGTACAAATTGCCACACGCTGTCCTCTAAAGGTGAAGATATCAACCCACTCATCCTGAAGGACTACGTTGCTCACCAATTTTGTAGAGAATGAGGGGAGGTGAAGACCTGACAGTGAGCCAGACGGAACCGCCAGACAGGAGAGAATAGTGGAGGAACGTGCAAGAACTAGGCCCCGAGAGGGGTCAGCCAGAGAGACTGCAACCGGTGCTGGGAGTGGTGTGACTGTGGTGCTGTCAAGAAAGAAGCATTGGGAAGCACCTTAGTCAAGCGTGAAGGTGTGCAAGGTCTCAGCAGGTGTAGTACCAAGGAGAGCAGACTCACTAGCACATAGAGCAGCAGCCTCTATACATGGGTCAGGCGGCACACAAAGGTTACAGTCACCCTCAGCACTAACAGTCAATGCATACATGGCGGCAAGGATAGCATCATCATCAAGAGCAAAGATATCCACACCCTGCCTAAGGAGCTCAGCCACGTCGGGAAGCTCTTCGCGAAAGGCATCGTCAAGACAAGAGAAGCAGCGGTACTGGGGGTGAAGCTTCCCGCATGCTGACCAGTGCGGGCACCTGTGCGAATGACATACGGGAAGCGACCACTACCCCCAGACGTCCCACGCTGAGCAAACCACCCACGAAGCTGCAGGGACGAAGGGGTCTCACTCGGACGTTGCTGGTGCTGCCGCTGGCCCTCGCCAGAACAGCCCCTCTGAACAGCTCCACCCCGGCCGCCACCACTACTCCCGCCACCACTCCCACTGCCGCCACCACTGCTGCCGTCGCCACCCCCACTGCCACCACCACCGCCGCCACCACCGCTGCCACCAACACCTCCACTCCCACCACCACTCCCACCGCCACTACCGCCAGCTCCACCGCCTCCACCGCCCCCACCACCGCCTCCACCGCTGCCACCCCTACCACCCTGACCTCCCTTGCCCCTGCCGCTGCGGCGCCTCCCACTAGGAGCAGACGCAGCTCCAACCTTCTCAGCACAAAGGAAGTCAACAACAGCAGCAGTAACGACTGAGGGGACAAGGGGGGGGGGGAGACCCCTCAAAGAAGAGATTGCAAGGAGTGCCACGAGAAGTGCCTACAGCGACTATGCAGCTGCAAGGAGGTGCTTCTTGAGCAGGTCGACAGCGAAGGCGGTGGGGTCAAGGGCGAGAAGGAGGTCCCTGACTGCGCTAAGAAATTCAGGGAGGCAGGTGACGATGAAGTAGAATGTGATGTTTATGGGAGGAAGGTTCTTGGCTAGAAACTCATTGGGAAGCGCGGCACGGTAGCGAGTGTCACTAGTGCGAAGGTGAGAGACGAGGTCAGCGACTATGGACAGCTCGGGGAACAGGTAGGGCAGTATGAGGCGGCCTAGAGCAACAGTGGCCAGGGAGGAGTAGCGAGCGACTACAGCGTCGTACAGGGCTCTAGTAGTCATATGCTGGCCAAAGTGAGGGCGTTCGGCTAACTGGAGGTAGTTGCGAACGGCTAGGCGAGAAGCATCATCACTGGTAAGCCATTGTGAGCGAGTCGAACTCTCAGCTGTGTTGGGAGGGGCGAGAGAGGCGCCAGACGTGAGGCCAAACAGTGAGACATCGTCCCTAGAATCGCTTACTAAGTACAGCTGCAGGTCATCTAGCCACGCGTCAAACTGTATCGGACGGACCTCTTCATCGAACGAAAGGACACTGAGAGTGGCAGAGCGCAGAGCGGCAGGGCGTGCTAGCAGCAGGGTAGCACGCAGTCACGGCAAGGCAGGGCGGCGACCAGCACAGCGGCGTGCAGGTAGGGCAGGGCGGCGCCGCAGTGAGTGGCACGCAAGTAGAGCAGGTGGCGCGGTGGCAAGCGACGCACAGGCAGGGCAGGCGGCGCGCGGGCAGAGCAGGGCGCGCGGCCGCGAAGGGCGCGTGGGTAAGGCAGGCGGCGCGGATAGGGCAGGGCACGCGGCAGCGAGCGGCGCGCATGCAGGGCAGGGCGCATGACAGCGAGCAGCGCGCGGGCAGAGCAGGGGATGAGTGAAACCATGCAAGGACCTGCTCTGAAACCATGTCAAAACTAAGGAACGAGGATGAGTGAACTAACAACAAGATGGGCAAAAGTACTAACCCCAATTGGGTTGTACCCTATATGGGCTACCCCACTGCAGCCTACACAACATATAAGTTTGACAATTTCGAGTGTCGCGATGAATCTCCTGACGTCCGTGCCTTTCGCGCTCGCATCAAGCGCCTTCGGTGGCCTTAGATAAGCAGATTCGAGATTCACTATAGAGGGTGCCGCTTTTGCAGTGTGATATGTCGGTGTCGGCGCTACTGTTGTTGCTGCTGTCGCTTTTGAATTCGCTGTTGCGTTCGATGCTGCTGTGGCTGTTGCCGACTTGTTTACGAGCATTGCTTTGATTTGTTGAAGCGCCTGCGTCTGGTTCTGCTCGGTGCGGAGTGTTTTGATTTCTTGAATGAAGGTCTCGCCTTGCAACTCCATGCCTTGT